TCCTGCTGACTTGAGGGAAAAGAGTCCATGTTATATTGCTGCATTGAAATTCATCCATGCAACACTATTAGACATGAAGTCAAATGTCAATGGAGTATATAATTTTAAAACCCCAGTATTTGTCATGGACTAAATGAATTCACATCAAAGTGGATAGTACTGTTGAAATATGGATCACACTTCCAGTCATTTCATCTAGAAGTTCTCTTTATCACATTTGAAAAGATCGTGGTAAACTGTAAGCTGGTGCAGCATAATGTACATTAAGTGGGGGCAAAGCATAGAAGCAACAACAATAACTGAAGAATTATATCTAATGCCAAGTAGAATACCAAATTTCATATATCATTTCTACGATAATATATTTCAGTTAAAAGTATTAGAAAACTGAAGGTGACACGGGATTGTCACAATCAACAAATGCATGTCAGCCAGATAACTACAATACCAGTTCATTTCTGAACAAAAACTGCAAAGACCACCTGCTGAGAATAATTTAATTAAGGAACTGTAGTACCAGAATAGTTGTAAAGTAAGAGGAAATACCTTTTCAAAAAAAAGTGGCACTCCCCATTTTATAAGACAAAAGGCTAGTATCACAATGACAACACACCATAAAAAGGATTTCATCCACCACCAGAAAGACTTAATTCTTTGTTCTGCTCGAGGCAGCAGGACTTCAGCTTCAACAGCCCTTGGTTCATCAGATATGACCAGTCTAACATATTCACTACTCCCCCTCACATGAGAGCCTGAGCTTGCATGTTTTTCCAAGACCTCTGATGATTCTTCTGTCATCATTGAGATGCCAGAAGGCTATAATAGCAGCAGAACAAAAACAGAACATAAGCATGAAGCTGAAACTGTATGAATCAAAATTCATAGAGCATATCTTACTCTATACTACATACTTAAATTCTGCAATAACAATAGCAAATATTTTTATCGAAAAGAGTGAGAACAGGAACTCTGTGGTCTTATTGCAGGCAAGTAACATTCCCATTATATGAAAACACAGCTGAGTTAATAAAATAACCCAAAGTGAAATACAAGGACACCAAAGAAGATGTGGATCATGTCTTCTAATTATATGAAGGTGCAGATTAAGGATGAATGCTATTAAAAAATGTTGAAAATTTCAGAAATTCAGTAGGGTGTTCTCAGTTTGAAGATAATGCAAGGCAAAGAAACAAAACGTAATAATTGGGCTACAGGAGTTATTATATCTGTAAAATAACTAATCTTACGGATGGAATAAATTTTCTTCAAGCCTAATAAAAGTTTATGGTTGATGAGTTGAACTAAAAGTAAATGCAGACAGACAACAACGTTGCTAGGTTTATGAGGCATTTCAATCTGAGACATCAGATACCGTACTTCCATGTTTATGATGAAACTCTCAACATTTGAAGAAACCACACTTCCTTACTAAGTGATCCCAAAACACGATATTTGAAACTTATCAATTTTCCAAACCTACATAATTTCCCAACCAAAAATTAAATAAAAAAAGTTGCATTGCTGCTGTGGAAGAATCTGGCAAAATATAAACACAACCTAAAAATAATCCCAAATTTGCACCGCCTGGTACCTAGTTTCTTACTCTCCAAAGAATCTAAACAACTTAATGAGTAGAGATTGTATTCTAAAGAAAAAGGGAGGATCTAGAAGGGTTAAAAGTCGTGAATTCATAAAAGAAAGATGAGATTTTTTGTGGAGGAAAATGGAATTGAAAAGCAAACAGTAATTTGGTGAGAAGTGAGAGAAAGAAGGAACCTGAGGGGAAGGAGTTGAGGTGGAATGCAACAGAAATGGTGTTGGGTGCTGCGATTGTGGAAACGTCCCACTCACGCCACCAACATCAACTAACTTCAACTCTTAACCTTTGCTTTTACGAATGTTTCCTTGTCACACTCAACAAACAAACCCAAACGCACGACAACCTTCTCTTACTTCCTTTTTATTATTATTTTCTTCATTTAGGTAAAATCTGGCTGCCTTTATCCCATAAATTAATACCCTCTCTAGGTGGATTTATTGGGGGCCTAAAGTTAAATACAAAATCAAAGTATTCTTCACGTATAAACATGAGATTATGAGAAGAAAAAAACATGGTTATTCTTATCCTATCCTAGCATTTGGTTATATCTCTTATGTCTATTAATTCCAAAACTTTAAAACTTTATCTCTATTTCAAGGTTTCTTATAAATTATACTTACATCACTCAATAACTCATATTTTATATCAAATTTTAATCATCAAATTATTAAATTAAAAATTTTTAATACATAATTTAAAATTATAAAATTTTAAAAATTTAAGAATTTTTTATATTTTATTTTATTAATTTAAATTAGTAAATAACTATAAAATATTATATATATTGATTTAAATTAATAAAATATAATATTAATACATAATTTTTATTTTTTATTTTATTTTTAATAGAAATATAAAATGTCTCATTCTCACTAATATATCTATTTATTTTGTACGAAAATAATTTGAAAATAATGCATTTTAGGCCGAGGTTGAGTCTGATGTCCGAGCCATTGTTAATCATCCAATCCCATGCATCCATATGTCCTTATACTTTTCATATTTTAAATCAATTTATTAAAATGTCCTCAAAGCACTAAAAAATAGAATTTTTTTAAAGATAAAGTGAAAAGTGCAGTTTCAGTGAAGGGACAGATGGCGAAGGTAATTGGTTCCACGTGGAGGAGCGAGAGAAAGAGACAAGAAAAAGAAAAGAAATTGTAAATGATTATTATGTGAGTGTGACGAAGGGAAGGCGAAGAATAAAAAAGAGAGAAGAAGGAAAAACGGAATTGTTAGTGTCGATGGCGGAGGACGATCAAATATCTCCGGCGGAGGGCGTGGACGTGAGCGGCGCGAGCAAGGAGCAGCAGGCGGCGGGAGTGGGGATTCTTCTTCAGATCATGATGCTGGTTCTCTCCTTCGTGTTAGGTCACGTTCTTCGTCGCAAGAAGATTTACGTTCTTCCCGAAGCCAGCGCTTCTCTTCTCATTGGCTTACTCGTTGGTACTCTCGCTAACATTTCTCACACTCAAACTAGTATCAGGTTAGGTTACGTTACGTTACGTTTACTCATAACTCATTTTTCATTCTTTCTATTATTCGAATTCCTCATAACTCATCAACCAACCTCACGTACTCCACAGGGCGTGGTTCAATTTTCACGAGGAGTTTTTCTTCCTCTTCCTCTTACCTCCTATCATATTATATCCTTAAACACTCCCTTTCTTCTTCTTCCTAACCCTTCATTCTTTCATTTCCTATGCCTTCATTTCCTTAACCTTTCTCTTTCACTCAGTCTGGCTTCAGTCTCTCGCCTGTAAGTTTCTTACTTTCATTCGGAATTATCTTTCTAATATTATTACATGCCTTTTTCACTTCGCGCTTTTTCTCTTCACAGAAACCCTTCTTCTCCAACTTTGGAGCTATTGTCACATTTGCTATATTCGGCACCTTTCTGGCTTCCATTGTAACGGGTGTCTTGGTGTAAGTTTTCTACTTTCTCTTTCCTATCATTTATTACAGTTCCTTTACATCCTATTCTTTCTCTGCAGTTATCTTGGTGGATTCATGTACCTCATGTACAGACTACCTTTTGTTGAGTGTCTAATGTTTGGTGCACTTATATCTGCAACTGATCCTGTTACCGTTTTGTCCATATTTCAGGTCAGGTGATTAACTTTCTGCTTTAATTCTTCTTTTCTTCTATTTGTAGTTTGTACCACTGCTGCATGCTGCATATACATGTTCCCACTTCCGACTCTAAACACTTTTAATGTCATGTCATGTCATATTGCTTCTGAACCCATTATGGTTTCAAGTATTTAAATAATTTCTGCAAGTGTATGCGTTCCTACTTTCCATCCAACAACTAGCTTGTCTTTTCTTGCCCTTCTAATTCATTCTAGTTTTCCTGATGTGTACCTTTGCTTTCCTTATTCCAGGAGCTTGGTACAGATGTCAATCTATATGCCTTGGTTTTTGGAGAATCTGTTTTGAACGATGCAGTAAGTTTCTATTTGTTACGAGCAAAAATTTCCTGGTGAAGTTCGCTATTTTTGTTTAAATATGGATCACGGATGGTACTGCTACCTGATTCTTTCCCTCTTTTCTGTTTGTCCTTTCTCTCCCTCTAACCTCCACTATGAACTACTGGCAGATGGCTATTTCTTTGTACAGGTATATCGAATTTTCTATTTCAAAAATAACCCAAGTATCATTTAAAGTTCATTTTTGACTCAAATACTTGTTTTTGCAGGACAATGTCAGTGGTTAAAACTCATCCATCCGGACAAAATTTCTTCATGGTGGTTGTTAGATTTTTGGAGACTTTTGTTGGGTCAATGTCTGCTGGTTGGTTTTATAAATTTTACCTAATGTTCTCTTTATGCAGTGTTTTTTTTAGTTGAATTACCAGTATTATGGGCTTTAAGGATAGGCTAAATTATAGTTTACCCCCGTCTAGTTTTGTACTTTCCCAACCTACTCCTCCCAACTTTTTTGTGTCACTTAACCCCCTCTACTTCGGATTTGGACTAAAATGAAACTATTAAGCTTTTTCTTATCAATGTTTATGTCAGTTACATGTTCCTTATTTTTGGTAGAAAATAATCTTATTGGTGTCAAATTATTAAAACACAGAAATCTCACACGTGAAGGCAAGCAGTGAATATTTTTTATTTTGTTCCACTTAATGAAACCACATTTATGATGAAAACTAGATGAATACCACTTATGATAAAAATCAGGTGGTGATTGATATTCCATTTGTTCAAAGGAGGCATGCAGACTCCAATTTGTGAAAGGAGTTTGTCTTGGTTGGTAGAAGCACTCATAATTATAATGGTCCTCAATGAATTTAGATCCACCGATGGAAGATTGTTTGTAATGCTTTACTGATGAATAGTAATAGAAAATGTTGGCGCTTGATGTAGGATGCAATGTCCTTTGTGTTACAGACATGAGAAACTATAATTCATGTTCTTTGAGATCATATTGACTTGTCCTTAGTGTAGCATAGATTGTGTTCTTCACGAGACCAAGATGGTACAATCGTGTCTTGCGGTGTCTTCTGTCGGTATGCTCTTCCTTCATTTCTCCAAGAGTCAGCAAAGGTGGGTTATCGCATGCAAGAATTCCAACACTCAAGTATTTGAGGGCAAGAGTCAAGAGGTGAGAAAATGGAGAATGATGTACCTTGGTTAGGGTTTGTCATCCCCTATATATATATATCGCGTCGATCACCCTATGCATGATCATATGAATTCTCATGATGACAGAATGATATGTATCCTTGCACTCCTTGTTTCCAACTAGCAGTTATGCGATCTTTTTGGGGTTGAACTACTCTACATGCTGGAGCATGATTAACGAGGCCATTGTGCCTATTTAGGGTGTATCTAGAAACCTGCTCCAATCATGTTGCACACAAGTTTCCTACTTTCCCATGAAAAAACGAAGGACGGGGAGTCTTAGATTGGCATTCAATCCAACTGAATGGGCATACAAGCACACACTTATTTGTTGGGCCAACATAGGTTGGTGGCTTTGGGCCACTCTAGGGGCTAGGTAAGTCCAGATCAAATTGGTTCCTTAAACTTGCTAGCGTGAGTGTTTTTTTAACCAGCTATATTTAGTAACTTGATGGTTATTGAACAACCTCTTAGATAGGATGAGCAGATCATAGACATTTTCACATTACTAAATCTAATCTTTGCTTCCACCGAAGTCATAAAATCACCCATTTTTCTCAACAAAGAAACTTAAGCTTTCACATAACATAAGTGGATAAACTTGTCATTTAGATATCATAGATAAAGTGGTGCCAATTAAGACAAATTTTAAAAAAAAAAAGTAAGATTTCACCGGACTGACATTAACATGAATGAAAAACTCAATTTCAATTTGGTCTAAAGTAGAGAGGGCTTAAGTAAACAGACACACAAAAAAAAAGTAACTTACATTAACTTTGATGGAGAACTTAATGGTTTCACTTTGATCCAAAGCAAAAACAGGGTCAAGTGACACAAAAAATGTTAAGGTAGGTTGAGGAGGTGGGCAAGTTGAGGAGGGTAATCTTCAATTTGCCCTTAAAGATATTCTGCATAGAAATTTGGCATCAGCTGTCCTTACCCCTACACTTTGCGTTGTTTCTTCTGTCATCATATGTTGATTTTACCCGGTTAATATAACAATTTTTCTTGCAGAAGAGACCAGAGGTAGAATTTAATTATAAATTGTTTTTATTTTCGATATTCCTAATTTGCCATTGTTTTTTGGTGTCTGCAGGTGTTGGAGTTGGATTTATATCTGCTTTAATATCCTTTTAAATTAATGATTGTCCTCTTGTCCTATATATACAGCAATAACTCTTTAGAGAGATTTAAAAGTCAAAATTTAGTGAAACCTTAACTATCAGAACCTATTTAAGTATGCAGGGTTGAATATTGACAAGTAAGTATTTATATTTTATTTTATTGTTTGGTTCAATATGTGATGATCCAACTCATATCTGTAAATTACTGATCTGAAAAATTTTCAATTTAGTCTTCAGAACTTGGAGAGCTGTCTTTTTGTTCTTTTCCCGTATTTCTCGTAAGAAAACTCCTTGTACTATTTCTTCATAACTTTATTGTAGAATTTCTATAAGTTTCTTTATGCATGATGCAATTATTTTATTTCTCAGGTACATGCTTGCAGAAGGTCTTGGACTGTCTGGTATTGTATCAATATTGTTCACAGGAATGGTAATTGCATATTATAATTTTAATGTGCCATTTCATGCGTGTTAAAGCATTTTTATGAGTATTTTTGTGTTATGTTTTAGGTCATGAAGCATTACACATATTCAAATTTGTCGCGTAGTTCTCAAAGATTTGTCTCTGCTTTTTTTGAGTTGATATCATCATTAGCGGAGACATTTGTGTAAGGAGGATTCAATGGCAGTATTTCCCTTCTAGTTTAACATTACCTCTATAAATGATGCATGGAAATCATTTCGTCATATGATCTACAGATTTATCTACATGGGCTTTGATATTGCTATGGAGAAACATAGCTGGTCACATGTTGGATTTATATTCTTCTCCATTGTATCCTTTCCTTGATCCTTTTATTTTGACCTATAAAATTGTATTAGCCTAGCATTTCATGTTCATGTTTATCCTCTTCCTCAACTTGCTTGGTAACCACTCCAGATATTCATTGGAATTGCAAGGTATTTATTCAGTAATTTCTGTCGTCATGAGTATTTGATTTGATCATAGTGACATGTGATCTTGTCAGGCTTTTTGCTAGTTTGGTAAAATATTAAGATATGTATGCACGTTGACTTTGACACTTATATGCTTAGCTTTCATATTTCTCCACGAAATTGTAAACTATATAGTTTGATCACTTCATGCAGGGCAGCCAATGTGTTCTCTTGTGCTTATCTAGTCAACTTGTTCAGACCTGCTCGTCGACAAATACCTCCAAAACACCAGAAAGCACTTTGGTATAGTGGTAAGGTCTGAGAAAGTCGTAAATCATTGACTATAGTCTGGAAAGCTTTTTTTATTCTGTCAATAAAACAAACTACTTTTTTTGGTGTGTTCTTTAATGCTTTGCCTGTTCTGTTGAGTTTTGTACTATATGAACATGTACAGGACTTCGAGGGGCAATGGCCTTTGCCCTTGCTCTGCAATCAATTCATGAGCTTCCAGAAGGACATGGACAGACCATCTTAACTGCAACTACAGCAATTGTTGTTTTGACGGTAGGCATGCTCATGGTTATCATCATCTAATTTAAGCTAATCATTACATAAATATAAATAAATAGAGGTATTAGGTGCTTGGCTATGTCAATGTAAAATTTGAATGTTACTTTCAAACTATATTCTGTGTTTTCATATTCTTGATTCCTTTCTTGATGGAAACTTAAATGTTGTTCTTATGTTTTCTATTGAATTCTATAATTAAGAAAGGGCTATTTGTAAAAACATGGTATCACAGAATTTTTTCTATTTTAAAATTTTCGTTGTTTACATCTTTTCTTTCTTAGAAATCATTGATTAGATAGTTTGTTCACTGCCACATAGGAGACAATAATTTGTAATTCCAAATACAACCATTTGGTGCAAGATTCTATCCTACTTTTTCAGCTTTCTATTGTTTAAAGAGGAGTGCTAACACTCATAAAATTTATTGAAAACTATAAAATCATGAGTGAGACTTATTAAATACGAAATGAGACACGCATAATTTTGTGATTTTCAATAAATTTTAGATAATAATAGAATGTGTTGCTAGTATTTCTCTTATTCAAATGTAGTTTTGTCTTGGCTTGGGAGGAAGTTCACATAATCGCATAAAAATTTCTGGTTATAACCATCCAATTTGGGTTTCTCCATTCAACATATGATTTGATTGACTGATGGAGGATGCTCTCATGAAAAGTCAACTAAAGTAAAATTCATCTGAGCAGTTAGATTATTAGCTTCATCTCCAGATTCAAGAAGGGCAATGAAGGTAGAGAAAGAAATCAACCGAGAGAGCTGTACAGAGCAAAGAAACTTGAGGATTGTATTACAGTAAGAAAAAAAACTGCAGAAATAAAATATAAGGAGGAAACCATAGAATGGTAAACTTAAATTTATATAGAAGTATTAAATTAGGAATTTCTTGACCACTCTGGACGAATCTTGATAAAAAAGAGTGCAAGATCTGATCCAATCCAATTTTAAGCAAAACAATATGTGAGGTTACCAGTATATAAAGTAAGCGTGCGATCCGAGAATCTCAGTGGGAGAGACTTAGTAATTTGGATATTTCAAATGGAGAATACTATGCTCGATGAGCCGTCAAAAAATGTAGAAGCATTACTCTGAATTGGACAACTTGATAGCAAACTTACAAAAACTGTAGCTAAGTTTTCTCCACATGTTTATTTTTCTTATTTAAATTACTTGCTGAAAAAAATTATTTTCCCCATTCACGATACTTGGCTTGTTACTTGACAATAAAAATTATTTACCATATTTCAGGTATTACTCATTGGTGGTTCAACAGGCACAATGCTGGAAGCTTTAGAAGTTATAGGTACTGACAGTCACATTAACGAGAGTCCTTTGGCTTCAATTAGTTCCAGAATGGTAAGTTTTGCTAGATGATGTTCTTTTTCTTTATTAAATAGTAGAAGCATCTCTACATTGTTGTTTCCACATAATTGCAGAGCTTTTCCCTTGTGGAATATAGCAGGTAGCGTACTTCTGCTGGACTGAAATGTAGTTGGGACTAACTCATATTGAAATACTATACACGTTTGGGATGGATCCTTTTTGGGATAATAATTGTTTTTTTTTTTATTTTATCAAAAGCTCCCTCAGAAAGCTAATAAAAATAAACTAATTAAATATTGACTGTGTGTGTGTGTGTGTGTGAGAGAGAGAGAGAGAGAGAGAGAGAGAGAGAGATTGACTAGGCTATATTTGTTGTTGAAAGAAGAAGAAGCATGCAAATTGACTTGTAATTATGTTTTTAAATTGCTTCTAAACTTTAAGTTATGAGCCATTCCATTAGGGGTGGGGGTTGTGGAATCAAATAGCCCAAAGCTAAGAAGTAGTAGCTGACCATGACCCAGGACAAAATAGAAGTTATGCATGTCTAACCAAGCATTAAGTGTTAGATAGGACATATGTTAAGCTCTTCATGTGCTTCTAAACTCAAAGAAACTATATTATTTATGAACTGTGTTGTGGAATTGTATGTTAACTTCTAAATTAAACATTGGAATTGGTTCCGTGCATTTTATCCTGGCAATTGACAAAGGATATAACCATTTTAATGAATCTTTGATTCTTTGGTTTCATCCGCTAGAATTTTGAGGAGAACAATGGTTATATGTCTCCTGATGATGATGAATCGTCATCAAACAAAATCAAGATGAAGCTACACGAATTCCAAAGGAGGTAACGACTGTGCTCTAATATTGAAAATATTCTAAAGCTATTTTTACTTAACGATATTTCTACTTCTAATTTTTCCTTGCTTTTCTTTTTGTAGTAGCGCTGCATCTTTTACAGCATTAGATAAAAACTACCTCACCCCATTCTTTACTAGTCAAAATGGAGATGAAGAAGATGAAAGTAAGTTTTACTTGGCATTAATTTCTAATCATCTGTCAAATTCTGACAGAAGATTAAGAATTGGTATAATTGGTATTTTGATTATATCCAACTTGATTTGCTTTTTAAACTCAGTCACAGCTTTAATCATTTAGTTATAGTCCACTCCAGTGTTTTATCATGTGCCCCACTTGGTCAACAAGCTAAGTCATCGTCTTACATTCTAACCTATGAACTACCGGATTTTGAATCTGAATCTGATATTTCTCGGATGTATTTCCCTTGTTTACTTTCGTCTGCTTACAAGCTCAATTCTTTCTTGTTAAAGAACAAACAACCAGCAGCATCTTTGGTATTATCTTGTTTTTCATGCGTTTAAAAGACCATATCTCCGGCATTTTTTTTTAGGTTTATGGGAAAATAAAAACAACATAAGAGATCCTACGATCTCGGATGCAAATACTCAATCCATCAGCTAAAGAAACAGAATAGTATCTTGGGCTTTTGAAAAGTAACTATTTTTTAATCTCTAAAATCTTGTCTCGATGCTGTGGAACTTGCATTCCAAGTATCGGATGGAAATACACGTATACTTCCTAGTAAGCCATAATTTCCTCCTTTGTATATTTGTAAATTTTTCATGGAATATTTATCAGTTGCGTTTCTAACATTATTTTTCATCTGTGATGTTTATGTACCATACTTTCTTGAACTTTAGTGATATCAGTGGGACATAATTTTTATCAAATACACTCATATCGTCCAGATTCTTCTGGTTTATTGCAGATCTAAGTTCTTTGTCTCTTTCCTGTTATTTATTTTTTGAGTTCATCCATGGGTGATGCAAATTCCCATCTTTCAACTGGAACTGGATATTATTGCATGTAAGGTAGAGATTGATCGTCTAAAAATGATGATTGAATCTATGAGTAAGCCCTCTGGCTCATGTACTCTGTCCATGAAGGGTAAGAGCATTTTTAATACTTTTGGCTTTGTTTCTCAGGGAGTTTAGATTCTTGATTTTGGAGCAACAATTTATATGACTCCCTTTCCTTCACTCTTT